GTCATAATTGAGGGAGTTCTAGAAAATTGAAAAGAATGCATGGAATTTTTAAAATTTTGGGTCAATTTAAGAAGTTTGATGCGAACTCGAGAAGTAAAACCCAATTGCCTTAATTCATGATTCTATTGTAGGAATACTTCAGAATGAGTCAATATCGGGGAGAGTGGGGCAAAATGAAACAGGCCAAAATTAAACAGCCGAAAAATGACTATTCGACACAATTCAAGTAAAAAAAATTTTTTTTTATCAACTTTTGTTCATCAGTTTTTTTTATTGTTGGGAATATTGATGAGAATAATAATTTTCAATTGTTCTTATAATTCAATTTATTAGATTAGGCCGATTACACTTTTCGTTTTTCATTCGATTCAAATTCAGCATCACATTTTCCTTTTGCCCCCTCTAGGTCTCCCTCTGGGCCTCACTTTGGACTTTGGACTTTGCTGTTTCATATTCTTTTCAATCAATCCATTGAACAAAATCTTCTTCCATCAAAACTTCTCAATAATTTTCCATTCTACTGAATCGAAAAAAAGTTCTAATAGAAAAACGATACTAATTGGCGAGAAAAATATATTGGATTTCTATTCAAGATTCCAATAGTTTTTGGCCCATCTTATTCAAAAATTTCACAGCTTGACAATGCTATCAATTTGCTGCCATTTAAAGATTCCCTCCTATGTCGTTTCCGTTAATCAAAATATTGTCATCATCTTCAGGAAAATCTGTATCGTTGTCTGCAATGGAAAATAAATCAAGGTAGCGTTGAAGAGATATAACACATTAAGTTTCGGAAGACTGTATGCTGGCATCGATTCTTAACGCACTTGGGAGTTTGGAAAACGTCTCAATAGACAAAGTTGTATGGGAAGGTCAATCTCCTCTGATTTTTCCTGTAAAATATCTTCTGGTGTAGATTTTCTATAAAAAATGAAAAAAATGCACAGTCAAGCTGCGAAATTTTGGAATAATATGGGCGAAAAACTATTGAAAACTTCGATAAAAATCCAATATATTTTTCTAGTTAATTCGTTTGGTTTTTTCGTTAGAATGTTTCTTCTATGAGGTAGAATGGAAAATTATTAAGAAGTGTGGACG